CACTGCCCCCTATATGCTTTTCCTCCTGTCTCGCTCCTGCCTCAGGTGTTGGAACGAATCAGGGAAAACGGATGCCCGGTGCTGCTCGTAGCTTCGCTCTGGACAAACCAGACGTGGTTCCCTGCCCTGATGCAGCTGACCAGCACTGCCCCATGGCCTGTACCATTGAGGAGAGACCTCCTCTCTCAGGCGGAGGGCTCGATTTGGCACCCTCGCCCGGAGCTGTGGTCCCTGCACGCATGGGCCATCAACGGGTACCCGCTAGCCTCCCAGAAGGAGTGTTAAACACGATCGCGCAGGCTAGAGCTCCGTCTACCAGGCGGCTCTACTCCTCGAAATGGTCTGTTTTCTCTGCATGGTGTCAAGCCCAGAGTTTTTCACCTGTGGAATGCGGGGTTTCGGAAGTGCTTTCCTTCCTTCAAGAGCTACTGGATAAGGGCAGGACCCCATCCACGCTCAAAGTATATGTGGCGGCCATAGCAACGTTTGCAAAACCGGTGTCTGGCCAGTCGCTGGGGAAAAACGACTTAGTCGTGCGTTTCCTTAGGGGAGCTCGGAGGCTGAACCCTCCCAGGCCCCCTTCAGTCCCGACGTGGGACCTTTCAACGGTCCTGGAGGCCATGAAAGGCGCCCCGTTCGAGCCAATCCAGCTGGTGGACATGAAACACCTGTCGTTCAAAACAGTGTTTCTCATGGCTCTCGCTTCAGTGAAGCGCATAGGGGACTTGCAGGCGCTTTCAGTAAGCGCGTCGTGTATGGAGTTTGGGCCTAATGACTCGAAGGTCATTCTCAAACCTAAGCACGGGTATGTCCCGAAATCCCTCAATACACCGTTTAGGGCCCAGGTAATTTCCCTGTCCGCCCTTCCGGTTCTCAGTGAGGAGGAGGACGCGAGTCTCCTTTGCTCCGTCAGGGCATTGAGAGCTTATGTGTCGCGCTCGTCTGTTTTCAGACAGACGGAGCAGCTTTTCGTTTTATTTGGCGGGCGTTCCAAGGGACTTGCCGCCTCAAAACAGAGCCTATCCAGATGGATAGTGGATGCCATTGCGCTCGCTTACACTGCAAAGGGCCTACAGTGCCCCTTGGGTGTCAGAGCGCACTCCACGAGAGGCGTGGCCTCTTCATGGGCATGGTCGAGCGGGGTTTCCCTGCACGATATCTGTACGGCCGCGGGCTGGGCCTCGCCGTCTACATTTAGAAAATACTATAACCTGGAGGTACCCGCCTTACAAGCTAAGCTTTTGGCGGTCTAAAATTCAGTGCTATATGCCCCGCTGTGCGGCCCAGATGCTGAGTTTACTGCAGCCCCGTGAGTGTTGACACACGTATGGCCACCCAGATCAGGCTGAAAGCTTTCACCCTGGCTGCGCGTTTTATTGTCATATGATAGCCCCGCTGGGTGCTTTTTTATAGGGAATGATGCTTCCAGCCTCTCTTCCTCCACTCTATGTGAGTTTATGGTGATTATGCACTACATGAGCCCTGGGCTTCGGCCCTTGGGACTTTGGTGTTGGATCCCTGTACGCACGGCGTGTTGCATTGTGTTCCCCTAGCGTAAAGCTATTACGCAGTACGAGAGATACTCTCGTAAGAGAACGTACTCGGTTACTAACGTAACCTCGGTTCTCTCTAGAGAGGGAACGAGTACTGCGTATCTTGCCGTGCTTGGAATACGCTCTGGTTCGCTTCAGCGATGAAAACCAGCTTGTACCAGCCTAACGAGCATATTTATAAGGTGAGACCACGCCCTTTCTGGCGGGACGTGACGATATGGGCGCGAATTGCCCCCATTGGTCATTACGTCACGCAGAGTCTCTCTCGATAGGCTGCTGCATTTGCCGCAAGAGCAACCAATAGGCGCGCGAGCTGTTTCGCCTACGTCTGCTTGCTGCTGCAAAGCGTTTTACATTAATAAAAAATTAAGGATAATTTTTGGCTTCAATATCTCGTGGAAAAGAGTTTTTCCCCTAGCGTAAAGCTATTACGCAGTACTCGTTCCCTCTCTAGAGAGAACCGAGGTTACGTTAGTAACCGAGTACGTTTTACCTGCTGAACACGAGCCCAGCTCCAGCAAGAGATCCAGCAACACTACCGTGGAAACGAGATCAGTTGATTACTTGAATTACTTTTAAAGGTTTAACTTTTGATTTTAAAATGTTTGTTAAACGAGTTTAAATGTAGGCAGTATACATGTTAAAACAAAATATCATCTGAAATAAAGGAAGATATCATGTAGCTTAAACGATTCATTGTAGTGTATTTTTTAGATGATTACGTTAAAAGTTTTTTTTTTTACAGTAAGTTTGATTTGAGTCAGAAGTATGTGGTAATTCTTTATTAATTACTAATGGGTTACCTATATTTTCACTTTAGAATACTGTTTCAGGTTATAAGCAATTCCTGAAGAATTATCTAATAATTCTTTATTAATTACTAATAAGTTCCCTATATTTTCACTTTAGAACTGTTTCAGGTTATAAGTAGCCTAATTCCTGGATAATTATTTTATAATTCTTTATTAATTACTAATGTGTTCCCTGTATTTTCACTTTAGAATACTGTTCCAGGTTATAAATAATTCCTGAAGAATTATCTAATAATTCTTTATTAATTACTAAAAAGTTCCCTATATTTTCACTTTAGAACACTGTTTCAGGTTATAAGTAGCCTAATTCCTGGATAATTATTTTATAATTATTTATTAATTACTAATGGGTTCCCTATATTTTAAGTTCCCCTCAGTTGTTGCCTAAATACATGAATTTACTCAATGGCATTCTATGCTGAGGAAAACAGACACACACAGTACTGTATATAAAATATAAAAACTAATCTGAGGTTAGTTTTGTATGACTGTTCATTAGTTACTTCTTAGTTATTTTTCTTGAACCTTAATTAGTAGATAATTAGTAGTAGTTATTCAGGAGGTATGACAGAATTCATTAGTTATTGGTTAACTAACTGTAACTTAACACAATCATAAAATTCTATTACATACTGATTAGTTAACACATCTTCCTTAGTTAACAGCAGTGAAGAAGTAGTTAATGAAGAAGTACCTACTAGTTCTTTAATAATTACTATCTTTATTAGTTATGCAGTAAGTAAGATACAGTATTCTAAAGTATTCTACCAGAAATACTCCAGTTACCATTTTAATACTATTTAACTAATTACGGACTTTATGGAATGTTCTTATACCTAATAACACTGGTTGAATGTTGCTCACTCTACTTTGTCTGCTGAAATACAAATAATTTACAGAACTCTATAGAAAAATAGATATTTTTACTTTTTACAAAACATACATTTTTGTTTGTAATTTGGACATTAATTATTTTTACTTGTAGTCTGATTTCATGGCTCTGATATTATTACAGTAACCCTAACTTGACTTGACTTGTAAGCACGTGAATTTCAAACAATAATAAAAAAACAGATTTGAAACTTTTTCTTAAAACAGTCTATTTTAATAAATATGAGAGATCGTTTTTGATGAACAGATTGAATTTAGACTTTTATTTACATATAAACATTGATTAGCGAACATGAACAGAAGCTGCAAACAGTTGCTTGTTGCGCGTGAACAAACCTCATTGGTTCTTGTGGAAGCTCAAACAGCGTTACACACGAGAATGACCCTATTGGTTCTCGCACGTCAAACAAGCATGCTTGAGCTTTCTTTTACCATAACTGATGTGTGAGTTGATGAATGTTTATATGTGAATAAAAGCCTAATTTCAATTTGTTCATCAAATAAAGCGATCATGTCTCTTTAGAAAATTTGGACTAAACTGTTCAATTCATATAGATTCGTTTTACAATCTCTTTATGAACTTTTTGAAGCGTAAAAGATTAAGATTTCATTAAAATATCTTAATTTGTGTTTGGAAGATGAACAAAAGTCGTAGGCTACTGGTTTGGAGTGACATGAGGTTGTGTAAATGATGACAGAATTTTCATTTTTGGGTGAACTAACCATTTAATGTGCACTTGGCTTCTTGCAATGGCTCATGGTTCATGCTTATAGTCCACATAGTCGTAGGGTGTCCCATTTGTCATTTTAGATCAGCCAAAGACAGTATTGTGCAATACATTCATAGTTAATGTGACGACCTAATACCTACCTTGCTGTTACTCTACTATTTGCCATCTTGAATTGCTTAGAAGTCATTGCAGAAAGTGAAGCTCTGAAAAAAGTCTAGCATTACTAGCTTTGTATACTGTATGTTTTGTGTTTAATATGTGGCTAAATTATTCAAATACCTTTTTATAAGGTTTAAATTTTGTAATCAAAAGTAACGAAAGCCTCTGCTGCAACAGAACCTTTACTTGAGACCCTATAGTGGTAAAAAAAAAAAAAAAGATATTACGGAGCCATCCAAATACGTTTTGGCTTAATCTCTAGCTACATAGAATAAATCTATAAATAGTGTCATTAAAAAGCATTTATCCACAGTTAAAATTTAGAAAGTGATTGCAAAAAATACTAAATATCAAAGCAAATTGCATTTATTTGATATAAGAAAGGCACTACAGTCACTCTTTCCAAGCAAAATATTTAACAAAAAAATAAGTTTGTTTTAACTGATAGAACAATATAGATATAATCTTTCAAATTACAACTAAAAGGAATTGAAAACAAAAAAAAGGACATGCTCATAGTTAACATGATAAACTACATCTGTGGTTACCTGCTTGAACTGAGGAGACTTCATAGTTCATTCAGTAAAATCCCCTTTTGGGCTAAAAGAAAATTTAAAGAGCCATAGCAACTGAGTTAATGTTACACACAGATCTATTTTATAGATTATATATATATATATATATATATATATATATATCACATGGAAAGAAACATTAAAAATGTTGATGATTTGTGGAATTTTATACAAAGTAACACTGGTTGAACGTCACTCACTATTCATATACGCTGAAATAAACATTATTTACATAATTCTTCTTTTTTTTTGCAACTGCATTCAACAATTCCTATTTTGCTAATCATAAGGATCTATAGCTCTCTTGTTGGAGCCACACATCAGTGAACTTTTCATGTACTTCTTAAACTTTTGATCCCTCAAGCCATATATGAGAGGACTCAGCAGACGTGGTAAAATGCTGGTGAGCGTGAAGGTGGTGAAGTAAATGACTGACCAAGACTGCGGAAAGAGAGCCGTTAAGGCCCCATCCAGGACTGTTGTAAACAGGGACAATGTACAGAGCAGTAACTGGACCCCATGCAGTAAAATGGTTCTCCTGGCCTTTTGGGCTTGAGCTGGTCCTGAAGCAGCTGCTTTAGCAGAGAACAGCACTTTGAAATAAGTGTAGAAGAGCAGCACCCACACTGAGCACATGTAGCCGATGTTAAAAACGGCATGGCTTATTATATGGTACTCCAAATTTAACACATTTTGCTGGTAGCACATGCGGCTTGTAGAAAAGTAGGAGAGTGGACGAAGAGCCAAAACGACAAAAACGTCCACTATGCCAGGCAGGGCTCCCACCAGCCAGATGATGCCGATCAGGATTTTGGTGTTTTGGACGGTGCATATTCGTGCATGATGTAGAGGGTAGCAGATGGCCACATAGCGCTCAATAGCCATGCCAGCCAGGTTTAGTGGCGTGTTCTTGTAGACGTTGTTTGCAATGAGGATTAAAATGCAGCAGACACCAACATTCAAGTTTGGCAATAAGTACGTAAACACAAACAAAGTCACACAGACAGTCAGTGTAAGGATGTCATTGATGATCAGCTGCATGTAGAGGATGTAGCGGGGCTCCTGAGTGAAGACTGGATTCTTGAAGGCAGTATAAAGCAGCAAGCTATTGATAGAATTGATAATGACAGCAAATATAATCACAGTGACGTTTTTGAGAACGGCTTCATCAAACAAATCTTTGCGTTTGGTAAATTCTGAACTGTTCATTTCTCAAAGATTATTTTTACTTAAATATCCTAAACAATTCAATATGATCCAAGCTATAATTGGGAAAACCTTTTAAAACAAAAACAAAAATTGAGGCCTTGCACACTGCAGTATGATGCAGAGATGACATCAAATAATTCAAAAGATTGGTCTGAGATCCTTAAATCTGCACGTCAAAGATATCAAATGTGTTTCTCTGGAATCGCTCTATTGTTCCTCTAGATGCCCTTAAATGAAATTTGGTCTTATATTATTGTTGAATATGCTATTTGAGGGTTGCCATATTCTCATGTGCCTCAAGTCCCTCAAGTCAGGAAAAACAGGGAAGTTGAAGCAAACAACACTCAAGTTAAAAACAAATTAACCTTTTGGTTATTTTTAATCTTAATCAGGTGATACTGGGAGGATGATAATGATAAAAAAAAGTCTGTTCATATCTAATGGGATATGTTAAAGGGGTCATATAATGGTACATGCACTTTTACAAGTTGATTGTACTGAAATGTGTGTTGGCAGTGCCTGTACACAAACATCATAAAATGATAAAAATCCATCCAGTGTTTTTGTTTTAATCTCCTTATATGTTTTCCCCTGTCTCAAATCAAGCCGTTCGACCGTGTGACGTCACACGGTCGGACGCCCCTCCCGCGATTGTTGATTGACAGCCGGGTTTCAACACAGACCCGCCCTTGCTCGTGAGCCAGCTGTCAATCATAGTCTGCGCGGACCGGCGCGGTCATTGTTGATATGCTGGAGCTGTCTATGAGCAGAATGGCGTCTAAGCGATTGTGGTGTTCTGTTCTTGGGTGTAATAACGAACACAGCAGTCATTTTAATGTTCCTAAATCCAAACCGCTGAAGACGCAGTGGCTGAGTTTGTTTTCGAAGGGAATATTCCCCACGAGCAACGTCAATGCTCTCATGTTTGCGCGAATCATTTCACACACCAGACTGCTTATAAACGAGGAGGGTCAGTATAAAGCTGGTTTTGCTAAGAAGCTGCTCCTGGACCGGTACTAGCTATTCGTGTTCCTGCTGAACCTCCAAAATAACTGAAGTGAGTGTAACGTTTTATTAATCTTTAATATTTATATTAATCTTTGCAAATCGCTAGATGCACGCTTCACAATGAATGCGTCTAAGGTTTACACTCAGGGTACATTACGACATGTTTTCTATGTACGACGTTCTCAATATAATTCATAATCCCACGTCTATAATGAACAACGCGTTATGGTTATTGTGTTACAAACGGTGTACACAGAACAGAGAGGCGGGGTGAGCAAAGCTCATTATCATTTAAAGTCATATGCACTGAAACAGCGTGCTGAAAACGTCTCAGGTTACGACTGTAACCATAGTTCCCTGAGAAAGGGAACGAGACGATGCGTCATCGACGCTTTGGGAACGCCCCCAGCGTGAATGCGTCTGAGCATCAATGTCAACTAGTCCAATGGAAAGAATGAGCGTCACGGGCGGGTGACATCATGACCAGGAAGGGATAAAGCACATCCGTTGAAAACCGGCACTAGCTTCAAAAATGTCGAAGCAGGCCGATCACAGGGATGCAGGAAGTATGGCAGGGTGACGCATCGTCTCGTTCCCTTTCTCAGGAAACTATGGTTACAGTCGTAACCTGAGACGTTCCCTTTCGAGGGAACTCGCGATGCGTCATCGACGCTTTGGGAACGAGAATACCCAAAACGCCAGATTTCCAAGTACCTGAGTGTCAGTCTGTTGAAACTAAGCAATAAGCACCTGAGAACCTGGGGCAGCATCCAGGTCCAAGCTGTAAAACCTAACGAATGTGAGTGGTGAGGACCAGCCTGCCGCATCACAAACGTCTTGAAGAGAAACTCCAAATAGTAAGGCTTTAGAGGCCGCCATACCCCTCGTAGAGTGAGCTCTGACCGCCAAAGGACACGGCTGGTCAGAGTACTCGTATGCAAGTGAAATAGCCTCAACTATCCACTTATTAACCGTCTGTTTAAAAGCAGGAAGACCCTTCTTAGGTGATCCAAAGCAAATAACTAACTGGTCGGACTTCCTCATTGAAGATGTCCGATGAACATAAGTATCCAGTGCTCGCACTGGACACAAGAGGTTCAGCCTTTCCTGGTCCGCAGATGTAAAAGGAGGAGGACAGAAACCTGCAGCACAATAGGCCTCGGAATAATGGTAGGCACCTTTGGAACATATCCATGTTTCGGGTAAGATTGCCTTGGCCATCCCCGGTGCACTCAAGGCAGGTGGGGACCGAAAGGGCCTGAAGGTCTGACTCTTATAGGGACGAAATAGCTAGCAGAAAATAGTCTTAAAAGAAAGGAACTTCTCTGAGACCAAATCTAAGGGCTCGAAGGGAGCCCCAGATAGGCCTTCTAGAACTATTGCAAGGTCCCAAGCCAGCACCCTAGTGCAAGTTGCAGGCCTCAGCCTCAAAGTGCCACGAAGGAAACGAGTGATCAGGGGGTCTCGACCCAAAAATGTACTACCCACCAGGGCGTGGAAAGCCGCAATGGCCGCCACGTATACCTTAAGCGTGGAAGGACATAGACCTGATACAAAGCGTTCTTGCAGAAACTCGAATACTGTGTTTACTGAACAGTTAACCGGATCCCACTGACGCTGGTAACACCAAGAAGTGAAAAACTCTCGAAATAGTGAATATAGTTTCCTCGTAGCGGGAGCTCAGGAGCTTAGAATGGTCTCAACAACCTCGGTTGAGAGACCACTCTCTATGAGTTGGGCCCCCTCAGAGGCCAAACCCACAGTTTCCAAATCCCCTGCCGGGGGTGCAATATTGCATCCCCTGCCTGAGACAGAAGGTCTCTCCTGATCAGGACCTCCAAGGGAGGTCCGTTGAGGAGAAAAATTAGATCCCCAAACCAAATTCAGCTCGGCCAGGGTGGTGCTACTAAATTATTCTGCTTATTCCATCCTGGCGGAATCACTCCAGAACTCCTGGGAGCAGAGCAACAGGGGGAAATGCGTACAGCCCCGAGGGGACTGGTTGAGTGAGGGATAACCAGAGTGGACAGTGCGTCGTATGCTGAGACGAGAACAAATCCACTTCTGCCTGGCCATAAAACTCTCATATTTGCTCCACCGCCTCGGGGTGGAGTCCCCTGGCCTCAGCCCCTGCCTCGACAGGGTGTCTGCTCCAATATTCTGGCCCCCCTGGAATACACACTGCCCTCAGACAGCGTAAATTCCTGAGGGACCAAAATAATAGGCCACCAACGTGTTGTCTGTGGGTCAAGAACCAGAGTTTCCTCCATATAACAAAGGCGCGGGGATACTGCCGCGTGATCTTGATCGTACGGAGTGGGTTTCCCCTCAGGGAGAACCCTCTGGTCCTGAGCCACCACTGTAAAGGTCTCACGTACAGCAGGTCAAAGGGTATCACATTGAACGCTGCTGCCCTGAGGCCTAACAGTCACTGTTTTAGAACAACACATGATGGCCCCTCAGGTCTGGGAGGAGATATCTCAACGCATTGAAGACGACCATCATCTCTAGGCAATTCATGTGCCAAGCGAGATGATGACTCCTCCCAAGCCCTGAGCTGAGCGGCCTTCCGATACCGCTCCCCAGCCGGTGAGGGAAGCATCTGTCGAGATCACAACTCGATGGCAAAGAGCTCCCAACACCGGACCCTGGGCTAAGAACCAGTGTTTCCTCCATATAACCAAGGCGCGGAGACACCGCCGCGTGATCTTGATCATACGAAGTGGGTTTCCCCTCGGGGAGAACCCTCTGGTCCTGAGCCACCACTGTAAAGGTCTCATGTACAGCAGGCCAAAAGGTATCCCGTTGGATGCTGCTGCCACAAGACCCAACAGTCTCTCGAACTGTTTTACAGTGCGTGACTGGCCTAGCCTCAGCTCTTTTGTGGCTGTTAGGATAGCAGCTACACGAACGGGCGACAAAGTGGCCCGCATCGTCACTGAATCCCATACCACACCAAGGAAAGTGGTTCTCTGTACTGGAGAAAGCACACTCTTCTTGGCATTGAGCCTCAACCCCAACATCTGCATATGAGCGAGAACGACACCTCGGTGCCGAACCGCTAACTGTTTTGATTCCGCTAGAATCAGCCAGTCATCTATGCAATTCAGAATGCGTATACACTGCAGCCTGGCGGGGCCAGAGCTGCGTCTACACACTTCGTGAATGTGCGGGGTGATAGAGCTAGACCGAAAGGAAGTGCCTGATACTGGTGTTCTTTGCCCCAAAGAAAACCTCAGGAACCTCCTGTGCTGAGGGAGGATGGAGATATGGAAGTATACGTCTTTTAGATCTATCGTGACAAACCAGTCCTCGGATCTGATTTGAGTCACGATCTGTTTGAGTGTCAGCATCTTGGAATTGAGTTCCAGCACCAAACACTCCAACAGACGAAGATCTAGTATGTGACGCAGCTCTCCATCCTTTTTTGGAACAATGAGATAACGACTGTAAAGACCCGACGCAATGTCAGGTGAGTACACCTGCTCTATAGCTTTCTATGCTAACAGGGCCTTTACCCCTTGCTCCATTACCAGAGAGATTACCATTACCCATAGAGATATATTTGGCAGTAGCTTCCGCGCTGCCAGAAAATCTACCAAGGGAATCAGCCCCTCTAGGCTGGCCTCTGGTGTAATAAAGACTGCCAGTTCGGGGACCTGAAACATACTGGCAGGAACCACTGACTGTTTTCGAACCCCCCTCAGAGGGCGCGATGTTTAATAGGCAGCCAATGCAGTGTTGACAGAACCAGGCTAATATGGTCATATTTCCTGGTTCTGGTAAGAACTCTAGCTGCTGTGTTTTGAACTAGCTGTAGTTTGTTTATTAAGCGTGCAGGGCAACCACCCAGTAGAGCATTACAATAATTTAGTCTTGATGTCATGAAAGCATGAACTAATTGTTCCGCATTTGTCAATGAGAGCATATGGCGTAATTTAGATATATTTTTAAGATGGAAAAATGAGGTTACAGATACTAGACACGTGATT